GTTTCCATGGGTGAATATTTTGTGAGAAAAACCATGGGTAATAGGGGAGACAGAGAGATGTAGAGATAGAGAGAGGGAGAGAGAGGAGAGGGCTTATCATGCAGCTGTTCTGGTTGAAATTATCAATAACAGCCAAAATGACAGATCGAGTATATAGGGAACTGCACGAATTTTGTGGGCATTGATAAGAAAAAAGAAAAACATTCATTCACTAAAATCCCTTGATGAGCTCTGTTCTGTTCATTATTCCAAGCTTAGGATACCAAAACATCCCTCATCTTTGTATTCTTGTGGCATGCTGTGGTGATAACTACATCAGTGGCATTAAATCTGGCTGTATGGCTATGGCCCCGCTAGTATACCTCTCATGTCTCATCAAGTTTGTGGTCCCTTTTTCACTAAGATACTCTCCCTTCATCAAAACAAAAAACAAAAAATTGTGGGATCTCCATGAGCTCAACTAGAGCATGCTTATTGGGAGGATTTTGGGTTTTTTTTTTGCTTTTTGATTCAGCCTATAGTCAGGCATTTTGTAAATTGGATATCGAACCCATAAAGCCACTAGAGAGGAAAAAAACTGCCAGAATATCGAACCCATAAAGCAACTAGAGAGGAAAAAAACTGCCAGAACTCAAGGCTCGAGTTGAAGAGGAAACTTGGTTGATTTGGTGTTAGATTATTGTCTGGTGCCTTGAGGTTGAGGGAGATTCATCATCATAGGAACCTGGCTGTGACCACTTATGTTTTCAGGCTTTCTCTTTTGTTGGTTGCCTTAAATATACACGGCGGCGGGCGCAGTAACTTGTTTAGTTATAACTAGATCGCCGTCAGTGGTTTTATGAAAATTACTGAATTACTGTGAAACCATTGAAGAAGATTTAGTTTATAAATATGCAACGGTATTGGATTTGCAGCTTGGCTGTAGTTTACACTAAAAACTGAAATCGAACAATCAGAAGAGAAGTGCTCTGCTTGATTTGATTTACCAAGTTTGGTTAGGTTAACTATGAGATTTAAACATGGATCTGGGAAAGACTTTTCAAATCATTGAAAATTAATAAAAGGAAGAAATGAGTCATTTTCAGGGGAGGGACAAACAACATAAGCCAAGAATAATTTTACAGTTCCACTTTGAGATTTATTATATATATCATTAAATCAAGGAATGATACGAACCTTATCCATATTCCTGTGAACTTCACATTAAGTAATCATTAATAACACCCGAACTCATGTTGCTTTTTTCCTCTTTAATATTCTTTTAACACATACACCACCTCTATTATTGATTAAAAGAATGACATGCCTCTCTCTCTCTCTCTCTATATATATATATATATATATGTATATATATATAAGAGACACATCATCAAATTTCCAATTGGTTTCAAATAGAACTACATGTCGATTCTTATATAATATATATATATATATTCTTATATAATTTGGTTTCTTTCCTTTTCTTTTCTTTTTTTAATTCTAGAATACCTTAAAATGTTTTGAATAATATAGCTGACAAACCATAATTTTATGGAATTTTTATCAATAATAGAGCCATATAAAATATCTCAAAAATTATTCCCTATCCCATATAAACTTAAATGAAATACAAAAGTTATTTATAAATCAATAATTTGTACGATAAAAAATAAGGTTAAAACAAAATGTTAAAACATCTGCAAATTGAAGCAAAATTTATAAATTCTTATCATTTATCTTTAATAATCAAATATGGGTTTATGTTTTGAATAAGGTGCTCAACAATGATGTGATTCCGATCAACGCAAATTCTAATTTTATTTTGACAATGAAAATTGAACTGTCAAAATATAACATGTATATCGAAAAAAAAAAATGAAATGCAGATTATCTGACAAACCTAACTTTTGACAGACTTATTAGATTTCGCTCTCTACAGCACCCTCTTATGAAAATTTTGAACATTTTTAAAAAGAATATCATCGAGATCTACTGATTTAAAATGTGTAATATTTAAGCATAGTCTTTTTCAATTTTGTCTTGTTTGTTATTTTCTTGTAAAAAAAAAATTATTATTTTTTTTATATGCGTATTATTTTAATTTAAATGCTTCAAAATATAAATAACAAAATTATTACGTTATAAAACATTTTAAAAAAATGAAAAAGAAAAATAATCATAAGATAGTTGAATCCAAATAAAAGCATGTGGATGCCCCCCCCCACAAGAAGCCCTTAAAGTTTGTGACACGTGCATACCTGGCCAAGATATTATTATTTTCCAGTGGCACAAAATATTAATGCAACCCCCACCAAAATCCCTTTAGCACTCGACACGTGTCCTCAGAAAATATAACTCTCCTTCGGTTAACAAAAAAAAAATTACAAATTAAATATTCACCGTCAACACCACAAATAAACAATACATTATAGTAGAAAAGCTACTCAAAAACATTTTTTAAATAATTCCAAGTGGAATGCACACACACACACACACACGCAAATATACATATATGTATTGTGTGTGTGTGTGTGTGTGTATATATATATATGTATACATGTTTCTATCTTAAAGAAAAAAGCCAAAACCCAAAAGGGTAGGGCATATCCATGGTTGAGTTGTCATTTTTGGGTAACTCGAAACCAAATTATGAGTTGCATATACCTTCCCAATCATGCCCCAACACCACAACACACATCCAAAAAACAAAGACTTGATGAGATTCTTGAAAAATAATTGAATTGAAATTGAAATTGAATAAACAATTATAATAATATTTTTCTCACATAAAACCATTTCACCACATGGGTAATTAATTAGATATTATGGGTAAGATTAATTCATTCATTTTACTTAATATTTAACTTAAACAATCAATTACTCGCTTAATTAGTGAATTAACCGATTAGAATTATGAAAAAAAAAAAAAAAGGTATTAGATTCTTTTATGATTTCTTTATAAGCCGTAGGCAGACAAAATTTACCCAAAATAAAGTGTCTATATAGCCAAATCTATACGCATAGGTAGGAGATACATGTATATAATATATATATATATATATATATGATTTTAAATAACATCAACTTGCACTCTTTTCTTGTTCACATTGAAAAATGTGGGTCACTTTCTTCTAATGTGCATGGTTCTTGATAGTACAATTCCTAGGGATGAAACTTTATCTTAAAGTAAAAGTTTCATTGCAATCACACTAAAATATAATAATTGAAAGTAAATCTCATAGCATTGCATGATTGAAGAAATGTTATAATACAACATTAAGACAAAATTAATACTTAAACCACAAGTATTAAAATTATTAACTCTTGAAAATCTCAAAAATCACATTGTATTAAACCAATACTTGGTTTATTTAATGCATCCAAGATAGGACAAATGATGAATCTTATGAAAACTTATTCTCATTTAATTTTAAAAAGAATAAGTCTCAAAATAACACTTGGGTATTTTGCTTCACAATCCCAAGTTTTAAATAGTGAAAAAGAATCAGCAGACGATCACATCCGAGGTTCAATAATGGAGAATTGAAACTGTGGATTATTAAGCTATCCCTATCCCTATCCCTATCCCTATCCCCAATTACTTGGGAACACAAGACAAGACAACGATAAAGAGAAATTTCATTAGCATTTGGGCATGTGGCCTTTGTAATAATGTGCTTGTGTGTGTGTGTGTGTGTGTGTGTGTGTATATATATATGGGTGTATATATGGGTGCATGATGAGAAAGACTAATTGACTAATGACCAACCCAATATTTGATTGTATCAGAACTAAATCAACTTTTAAGAACTATGCTGATTTGCTGCTCATAATTTCCAACATTAATTATGTTGTACGTTATAGCTAATAATTCCATAATGAATTAAAATATCCATACAAATAGATAGTTCATTAAGAGAATGTACGTGTGTGTGTGTATATATATATATTAATTAAACAAGTTAAATAAAGATGAAAATATTAAAATATATACGATAGACAGAGAAAGAGAAGAGACAGAGCAATAATAATTACTGAAATAGAAAAAGATGGAGGAGGTGAATGGTGTATGGCATTAAGTTCTGGATCTTGTGACTTTCAGATACTTTCTATTTTCAATTTTGTTAATTTCACTAATAATAATAGATATAGTCTATAGATATATAGAAAAGACAAAAACACAAACCCAGAGGACAACAAAAATTATTTAAAAGAAAAAGAAAATGAAACCCAGAGGTCACCAGTCAATATTTTCTCTCTCAAACTTTTTTTAAGGGAGAAAATAAAATGATCCCATGAGATCTGCTGCAAGAAAAAGTAGGAGAGCTAGCCCTCAACAAAAGAATAAAAATGGATGTTTCTCAGCTGCAAACACAGTTGGTTGACTACACAGCCTCACTGTTTCATGAGGTCAGAATCTATATTTACATACACACACTTATATATGTATGTTGAATTGATTTCTTGGTAATGAGTTTTTTTGGTTTATACGAGTAGGGATTTTTGGATGAGCAGTTTAACCAACTTCAGCAACTTCAGGATGAAAGCAATCCAAATTTTGTTGTCGAAGTTGTTTCTCTTTTCTTTGAAGATTCTGAGAGGCTTCTCAATGAACTAACCAAAGCTCTGTGAGAAGAAATTTTTTGTTTTTCGTTTTACATGTCCCTCAAGTCTCCTAATTTACTTATTTGGTCCTTCTTCTTCGTCTAATTTCCCATGCAGGAGCCAGGAGAATATAGATTTCAAGAAAGTTGATGCTCACGTTCATCAGTTGAAAGGCAGTAGCTCAAGGTACTGGCTTTATACTCGTATACATATATGTATATATATCTCTGTCTTCCGAAAAATTGTTCATTTATATCAGTTGAAGATCACTTGAATTTTTCTTGGACATTCTTGAAATATTCTTCTCTAAAACAATATGTTCTTGGAAAATAACAGCATTGGAGCACAGAGGGTTCAAAAGGTGTGCATTAGCTTCCGAGGTAACTGCGAGGACCAGAACGTTGAAGGGTAAATTTCTTGACCAATTTCATTCAACACCCTCATCATTATATCAGAATAATTGCTCTCGATTAACCAACTATTCCTTAATTGTAAGTTTAACTCGAACTGTGCATTCGCATGTCTGTTATTGCGAGATTAATTGTGTTGTATTGGTGTGCAAGACCATCTGAATTCTACTCAATAAACTAGAGACTGATCTTGGGAAGTCTTTTTAAGTATTTTATGACGATTTTGAAGTGGGCATACGTATAGGTGTATCAAATGTCTGCAGCAAGTGAAGCATGAGTACTCCCTAGTGAAAAACAAGCTTGAAACTCTGTTCAAGGTACACACACTCATATATATATATATATATCAAAAACAAAAACAAAAACTTACTTGTTGAGGACTTGTCTTGTTTCAAAACCAAAGCTTATACAGTTTCTTTTTGTCTAGAATATTACTTTGAATTGATTTTTAAACTTACTTGATTGGTGTAGCTTGAACAACAGCTTTTGGCTGCGGGTGGGTCAATTCCAGTGTACTGAACTGCAGCAAATAATAAAGCCTTATCATCTGCAAAAGTTGAATGTTAGCTTTGTAGAGGAATTTTCTGTCCTTGTTTGTCTTTCTTTCAATTTTTATAAGTACATTTTTTTTGCATATTGAAGGCCTCTATATCCATATATATATATATATATATATATATATTTTTTTTTTTTTTTCTGCTCTTGAACTTGCGTTTTGTACTATGTCATCTCCAGTCCACCAAGCAATGACAAAGAATGTGAATAAACCCTTTCTGTTTATCTCAATCACCCTTCAAATATTCCCTTTGTTTCCCCTTTCCTCAACTGCCAGCTTCTGCTTAAAGCAAAGCATTAGCTTAAATAAACAAAAGATTTCTTATTTGACTTCAGTTAAAGTTGAATGAACTTCTTCATACATACATACATACATACATATATATATGTATATACAGAAGTTTTATCAAGAACTCTGTTTTACAAATCTCCATTAATCAACTAAAGTAAAGGGTACTAATAATCGTTTTTTTTTTCACTAAAACTATTTTCATCTTTTTGTCAATCTGTTCATTGTACGTAGACTTCGTCTTTTCAAGTTATTTTAATGGCGGTTAGCTTAGCATTGTTTTTTGGGAATTGAAAATGAAGAAGAAACCCCACGTTGCTGGGTTTATTTATTTAATTACTTAAGTCTCTATATCACATTCAGTGAACACAAGTACGTATAGTTTTAATAAGCTAATCAAATATGTTCATATTGCTGGCATGTTCCCCAACTATCTTGCAGCTTATATATAATCTGCTACCAAATACTGGATGCAGGCAAGTTCAAAATATATGTATTATATGTTCGTTTTTGTTATATGAAATTATAATTTAAATTAAACTCAGTGTTAATTATTTTGGTTGATGAGTGATAGCGCAAACACGTGTATGTATAATGAATGTTAGCACACACATATACATATATATACATATATATATATATATATACACAACACATACAACGAGTTGGTCAATGCCAGCTAGTTTAACTTTGTGAAAACAAAATACCCATAACCATTTTTTTTTTTTTTTGACTAAATTCATACATTCGAAATAGTATACATATATTATTTATAATACGAAATAAATAATTTATAAAGAAAAATAAATATAAACATATAATCTTATACGAATTTATAAATTTTTATAAATAAAGAAACTACATCTTTTAAATTATTTAAATAATCAATCTCGTAATTAGTTATAACTTTCTAATTAGTATAATATTAATGTGTAAGATCTTCATTTTAAACCTCACTTTGCAAGGTAATCTATATTACATATTTTGTAGTTCATATTTGAACCTCCACACACACACACACACACACACACACATATATATATATATATATATATATATATATTCTTTACCTCATTGTTAGACTCTTCTGTCTTTAGCCAAAAATAGTGATTTAGTTCTTGTACTTTTGTTTTTAGTTAAATAAATTCTTGTAATTTTTTTAAAAAAATTAATTTAATTTCTTCCTATTAATAAAAATTAATTTCGTTAATTTATATATTTTTTAATTTGTTCAAATATTATTCGATCCCATGAACTAATTTTTATAAAGTACGAAAGTACAAAAGCTAAATTGTTATTTTTGCATGTGTATTTACGTTTTATACTCCCAAATTGGACCAATTGTGCCCTCCAATCATAATGGAATTTAATCCATGTGCAATTGTGTTTGTCTTTTTTTAATCTATAGTTGGATTATATATTAGATATATTATATAGTCTATTATCCAACTATATCCAAGAGCAATCCAACGGGAATGAGAAGAAAATACAAAGAAATAACAACAATAAAAGCAAATTATGAAATTAGTTTCTAATATTTACCATTTTTTACAGTTTAATATATAATATTTATTTTTTATTATAATTTGATTCCCGATGTTATTATCAAATTTATTATTCTTGGAGTAGATTATAAATTAACATTTGATATTTGTCACTTATTACAGTTTATTTTCTAATTTTTTACCACGATTTCATCTTCGTTATTATACATTTTAATTACGAAGAAGCTGAATATTTTATATTTAGTTAATATTTAACAGTTTTAGACATGTGATGAATTTGTAATTTTTTCATATTAATTAGGTTCAAGAATGAGTAATACAACTCATTTACATACAAATTATGAATATTTGGAATCCATATTATGCAAGGAGACGTTGCATAAAATCAGTCTATTTCCGACAGTATATCCATAGTTGGCGCATTTATCATGGTTAAAATTTTTAATTCCGTATCAAGTTCACGATCGATATCATTATTATCATCAATATTGTTACTAACATTTGGTAAATACTTCTGAATGAATTTTAAAAAAATTATATTTAAAAATCATAGCATTTCGTGATTTATTAACAAATCTACATTCTAAAGAAGTTTATATTAATTGAATTTTAAGTTTATAATTGAGTTATTTATTTCTCAATACTATATATAACTTAATGAACGCATATTATTTTGATATTGATTTATATTATTTTAAATTAAAAAAAAAAGTGATATGTGCATCAATACAAAATGACGATAAACTATATATTATAATATTAAAATTTATGTTATCTTTTGTAAATAAAATCATTATAAAAAGAATTCACTGAATATGTAGGAAGTGTAAAGTAAAGAGCAATTTATATCATCAAGAAATATAACTCCCATTTTATTCACCAAGTTCATTTAAAAAATAATTTTTTGAAAAAAAAAAAAATGCAAAACCCTCCCAAACGGCATCGTATTTGAGTATAATAATGATATTGGGCCTCTCTTTGTGGACAGCATTACGGTTTAAAAGATAAAAATTGGGTTGGTCATAGTTGGTTTAGGGTTCTTTCTTTTTTCCATTTTTAGAAAATATAACAATAAAAATAGTAACAATGGTA